TCAGGTTTTTCCCACCTTTTTTGTTTTCATAACAGAACTTGAACTTGTTTTAATTTGAAAGGTTTAATCTTGGTTAAAACGAGAAAACAAAAACATGAAATTAATCATACGTTACATTGGGGTTTTAATTGCACAAGTTTTCATGAAAATATATATTTTTTTCAGGTGATGGTTCCGTGTGATGGTCACCCACTGGAGCTTTTAACGCTTCTTTTTATTTATTTATTTATTTAGCGCCACATCACGGTTGAAAAGGACTGATGCAAAATCTTGATATTGCATTATACTCACCCTATCTGTCTCAATAACAAACGCATTCATGGTGGTATATCCCCAGCTTTGCTTTCTGATGGAAGAAAGCAGGACGAGGAGGAGGACAGGAGGGGGACTGGGGAGAGGGGGGACGGGGACGGGGGGGATCTCTGTGGACTTGTCATGTCAAACTTTTGGACCAATAGCGACGCAGCTCTGAGCAACCTTGAAAGCCTATTGGAGAGCGGAGCCAATCAGCGGGGGAGAAGCGATGGAAGTCCAGCCTCCTGATTTCAACAGATTGAAATGTAAGCCTGTCTCCAGCGCCGTCAGGAAACAGATCGCGAATTTTGTCCCTCTTGTTCCTTATCGCACAAGAAGATTTTCTTGGACGCGGTTTTGGACAGTGGACACGCTGGACGCGGAGCAGGATCCACGCAGTAGGCACAAACCGGACACCGTATTCTTCATTTGCGGCTTTAACACGATGGGTGAGTTCACTGTTGGATCGGGGTTTTTTTTGTTGGTTTTTTTTCTTGTCAGAGATGCAGCAGAACGGTCAAACGTCAAGGTGGGGATACATATAGCGAGATATTGTCTGTCTGGGATGTTTTAGCGGGTTGGTTTGAGGTCCTTAATCGAGCGGGAGGAAGCCAGCAGACTGAATTATTACATGTGTCAGTTACGCAGGAGTTTTGGCGTTTACCGCTGGACATCCGTGTGAAGTTTAGTCTGCCTGCACGACAGCTATCAGTCAGCTATTGGTTGGTTCTTTTCACTCAAACATTATTCATAACTCACAGTGATAAAGTGGGATTTTAGAGTGAACACTTTCTTGGTGTAAACACTTCGAGTTTAAAAAGATGCGCCTCTGCGTAATGATGTTTTTTAAAATCAACTCTTAGGACACTGAAAGAGTTTTAGTGATACAATGATCTCAAAACTTGGAATAAGCTGATTAAAAACACAGTTTAACATATCAGATCTTTGCCATATTTGATTGTATACAATCATGTGTGTAATGAGACAGATCAGGCCTGGCGTGGTTTAACCCGGGTTAAAGCAGGCTGTGGTGCTTTGGTTTGGTTACCTAATCGCTGTCTCATTGTTCTGCTTTTTTTGTGTGTGTGTGTGTGTGTTTGTTGTTTTGTTTTTTTCACACCAGAGCCAGCCTTCGGTGAGGTCAACCAACTCGGCGGGGTTTTCGTGAACGGCAGGCCGCTCCCCAACGCCATCCGGCTCAGGATAGTGGAGCTGGCCCAGCTCGGGATTCGACCCTGTGACATCAGCAGGCAGTTGCGCGTCTCCCACGGCTGCGTCAGCAAGATCCTGGCCCGCTACAACGAGACCGGCTCCATCCTCCCGGGGGCCATCGGAGGCAGCAAGCCGCGGGTCACCACACCCACCGTGGTCAAACACATACGGACATACAAGCAGAGAGATCCGGGGATTTTTGCCTGGGAGATCCGGGATAGGCTACTCGCCGACGGGGTTTGCGACAAATTCAATCTGCCCTCCGTCAGCTCCATCAGTCGGATCCTGCGCAACAAGATCGGGAATCTGTCCCAGCAGAGCCAGTATGAGTCGGGCAAGCAGGCGCCTCACCCACCGCCACAACCATCGTTACCCTACAACCACTTATACTCATACCCGACATCCAAAGTGCCCACTCCCCCTGGCATGCCCACCCTTCCCGGACACATGGCCATGCACAGGATATGGCCTTCCTCGCACTCTGTAACAGATATTCTGGGGATACGATCTATTACAGAGCAACAAAGTAAGCATGGCTGCATGGAGGGCGGTTGCATTTGTTTATTGCACTACATTTAACAACAACTTTTGAAGGGGTTTTGCGCGCAAGAGTGCGAATGTGTGTGAGTGTTTGAGAGAGAAAGTGGATTTATTTTTTTACTCCTCCCGAGTTGAATTGTTGTTTTTTTATATGCCTCCGAAAGTAACTGTTGGGACGTTATAAACTCACAGGCCTCTACGGAGAGGGAGAAAGCTTAAATGCCATTTGACCTGCCTGCTGATATTGATTTGAAAGGGAGGCAGGTTAGTTCAGAAACAGATGGTCCGGCTTGCAGTAATAATTAAGAGGCGGATGTGGAATATTAGAGGGACAGCGGAGGGAAAGGCGGTGAGTTGAAGTGCATCAAAATGAGGTGTGCTGAATGTTTGCCATGACTCGGAGCCAGACATTTTGTGCGGGGCAGAGCATTGAGCGAGGTTTTGATTCAGGCATTAAAAAAAAGAGCCAGCTCACATTAAGATACGGTTTCTGCTGCATGTGTTTTGTTTGTCGTATATGTGTCACATGCAGGTAGGCCCAGATAACTTTGGCTCGCACTCAACAAGACCACAACTGTTTTGGAAACACTGAAACGGGATCCGGCATAAATCAGTGTTAATGGTCGGCTCGGTGTTGTGAAAGGGATTTTCTGAGAGCTTGTTTTCCAGTGGCAGTAGGGGAAGTGCTGTCAGTCCACTGCAAGCAGTCCTGCTGTCAGGATTCATGGCTACCATGCAGAAACACGCCCCGACTCCTCTCCACTTTCCACCGCCAACACCGAAAAAAACCTAAAACTCGGGCAGGCTAAACAAGACAAACGTGAGGCAGATATCCACGAGAAATCACAAGAGGAGGAGGAATGTGTTTTGAAAGGCTGCCTTTATAAACAATTGATGCATTTCCAAATTATTAGCAGATGTTTGTGGCAGGTTTTTTTTTCTTTAATGCTAAGTTTTTTAGTACATTTTCGTGAGGTGGGAGCTCTTTTGCACCACAGTGATTTCACCAGTCAGAGTATTTTAAAAAGGGGATTTGGAATTTAGGAAAAAATGTGAGATAATGTTTAAAAGTCAAGACAAAGTGTGCAGGCTTATTATCATAAACTATCAGTGGTTTTGCTTCATCTAGTATTTATCTTGACGCGGATGCGGGCGGGCGCACACACACACACACACACACCACACACACACACACACACACACTGACTCCAGCTAAGGCCTAAAGGCTGCATGGAGTCAGTTTCTGTGAGTGAATTCAGTGACATACATGAAAAGTACGATTTCAACATGTTCAACAACACGCACATTTAACAAAAAAAAAAAAGCTCTTTATCTAGTTATAACTTTGGTGGGCTTGAGTTTCCCAGTGTAAACGTTGGGAGCTGTGTATAATATAATACCCATCACTCACAGAATGAGGGAGACGGTGAAAGTAAATCTAATTTGTCCCCGAGAGGAAGACGCTTTGGTGGGCTAAAACGTCCCTGACCCACCAGAGAGTCTCAGTTCTGCACATCTTCAGCTGGGCCTCAATCTGATCTTCAGGAGGAAGCAAAACATTTCAGTCTAAACATTTACTTTAAGACACGTGAAAAAGAAAAACAGTTTTTAGTTAAAATCCTGAACAGATAAAAGTTGAGGCTTGATCACTTTTATTGATTAACGGCTGGAGAAAATTCCTGAAAGCAGAGAAAATATCTCAAACTTATATTTTAATATATTATTGCAGGGGATTATATAAAGGCTGCCTCACTATCACATTGTGTGCATTTTGTTTAAGATACTAAAACTGATGTTTTTTTGTTTAACTGATCAAGAATAGAAGCGTTTTCTAACAACTTTACGCACAGTAAAGCCTCTTGATATATGTGCGTAAAATGTCAAATAACCGTGAGTTAGTGGGAAATGTCACAGGGTTTTTTTTTTTTTTTTTTTACTGTCTTGTGCAACCTGGCTAAACTGGGCCTGATGGACGCATGAGAGGCAGCGGCCTGTGCGGGTCTTTTTCCCATAATCTTAAAATCTCCCCTCTGACTTTCCTCTCTCTTCTCTTCTCTCTTTTGCCCCCCCAGTTAGTGACAGTCCATCCTTTTCCAGCGCCAAACTAGAAGAATGGAGCGCTATAAACAGGACTAATTTCCCACCAGCAAGCTCTCCACTAGTCAATGGCATGGATAAACCGCATTTAGAACCTGAAGCAAAATACACACAGGTAAAAAATGGACACCTCTCATTTTTTTGTAACCTAAAATGCAACATTAGTTTAAAGAGTGTATCCAAAACTTATGGCAATCATGCCATTAATCTAACTTGAAGGCTTGAGTATTTTTTCTTAATATTTAAACAATTATGTGGCTTGGAAATTTCCCTTTCACAGCATTAATGCGCTCCTTCTGTTGGCTTGCTGGTACTGGTGCATTTTATAATATCTTATTATTTTTTATTTTGGCTTTACAAGGTGCACTTCCTGTAGGGCCCTGCTGCATGGTCAGTGCTTTTATGAATCATCCGAGTGTAGATTATTTAATAATTAGTAGGTCAAAGAGTTTTGGATAGCCCAAGTTATTCTCCTGATTCTTGTTTTCCAGCTTGGTATGTTGGGTTTTTGAAATTAATTGTAGCGTGCTTAACACTCAGAAACTGGTTGGACCCATAAAAAGAGTCAGCAAACTAATATATAGTCCTGTTTTCGGTTTCCTGGTAACTTATTCTAGCATAGGCCTACAGTATTTTAATGGGTTGGTTTCAGTGCTGTAAGAGGTTTGAGCCAAGACATTGAAGTGTATAGAAGGAATATTGACCATTGCATAATTTGTCTTATTCAGGTTTATTGCGAAAAAACGCAGTAGGCTGTCTGATAGGCAAATATTGTGTCTATAACAACTGTCGTTCAGGCCCCGGGACATTAATTGCTGTGCACTGATTTCTTAAAGGCGACAAATACACGTGAAATAGGCAGATCCAAAATAAAGCACAGATCAATACATTAACCTACGCTAAATTTCACACATATCACTTTTAATAAAAAATATTTAATGTTTATCTAATTCTAAAGGGTGAAAACTCGCCTTATGCCTAATTCGTGTAAATTTAATTTACCTAGCCATTAAATAAATTTACATTTTTATTCATTTTCTCTACTTTTCTTATTCAAAACCAATTTTTTGCACGTTTATGTAAACTTTTGTAGGCCTTTATTTTTGTTAACTAAATGAGGGGATATGGTGATGCGGGATGAGTGCGCGCATGCGTGCTTGTTTGCTCTTGTTTTGACAGGGCGTGCGATTCTCGTTATAGACAAGAGAAAAAACAACAAAAGAAACACAACAATTTCATGGCGCATTATTTCTTTTGCCACTTTATCACGGGGGAGTTTTCATGCACATTACGCAGAGGACTGAGCCGATGCTGTGAGATTAGGAAGCAAAAGTGGACACACTAACTGTCTGAGCGGTTAGCCAAGCAACTGTACAAAAACAGAAGTGAGCCATTAAATGCAGAAAATAACAACTCTATAAATTACACAGTTTATTGCATGAAAAACAAAGAATGGTGAGGCAAGTAGTGTTCCACCAAAAACGACTGGAGGATTAACCGTGCCTTTGTCGCTCAGACTTTATACAGGGCTGCAGCCTGCTGAGATCTGATGTTAAGTAGATCTGAGTTTGTGTTTGTGTGTGTGAGGCAGAGACAGTAAAACAAGAGAGGTGTCATGCGAGAATATTTGTTCAAATGGTGACTGGAAAAAAAACTGCAATTCACTGTGTCCATGTCGTGTTTTTCCCCACATTTTTTCCTCACAGCTTAAAAAAAGGCCTATTCTTTTTTAGATTCCCCCTCATGGTTGACTGTCAGTGTAAAAATGGGACACTGAGAACTTCTAATTCTCACTCTTATTTTTTTTTTTGTTAAGCCGTCTGTGTATAAGGCCAGAGGCTGCGGTTAGTAACATGTGGCCTATAGGCGCTTGTTCAGAGGGCAGATGCACCCATGGGACTCTTAGGTTTTTCTCCAGGAGAAGAGGAGCATCATTAAAATAGATTTAGGGTTAGGTCAGGAGCTTGGGTGCGCGGGGCCGTTCATGTTTTCGACTGAAACTATCAGTAAAACTCACTTTTCTGAACAAAAAATGAGTTATATATAATATTTAATGTGCTCTCTGTCCGCGCTGGATTAACGTGCTTTTATTCTTTTTTTTAAGTCGGACTTTTAATGATTTATTTGAAATATAAACAAAGGGATCCGAGCGTGACCAAGTGAATCTCTTTGAGTTGTAATTATTTGGATGAATGGCGTCAATGCTTTTTATTATTCATTATTCAATTCTGGTTTTATTTGTGCCTAATAATGCTACATTTAAAAAAGGCATCAAAACACCAAGTGATTATTATTTAAATATTTCTTACTAACAAAAGAAGAAGAAAAAAATAACCTAAACTATATTTTTTAACAATTACTAAGCCAGGTTTGTATTGTAGGCTATGATCTATTTAAAATAAACATATTAAATAAAACACAACTCCGAGTTCTGAAATATGCAAATATAGTTTTATAGTGTGTGCACTGGGATAATGGGGGTGGACAAAATAATAGGTACACTTAAACAAATGATGAAATCTGATACAAGAGCACTGTCATTAATACACCCTTTGTAAACATTTTAAATATTGTTGACTTTGTGTCAGACAGGTCTGTGGACATTTCTGACTTTGTAGTTCTTGTAGTGGATTGCATTATACTGAAAGGTGTTCCCTGTTATATTGTATGTGTATGTATTTATGTGTACAGTGTACATTATGCAGGCAACGTACTTACTGTAGTCGTGTGTGTGTTGCATGTGGTGCTTTTCATTAGTGGAAGACGTGATAATCTTTGGACAAATGTTTAAAAGAGACTAATTGATTTAAATGAAAAAACATTATTTTAAACACCGGTCTAAAGCCTGCATGGCCATTATGTGGAATAAGCTTTAGTATCGTTGAGCCAAGTGAAGACACACAGACACCCACAAACACCCACAGACACCCACAAACACCGGCAAACACCCACAGACACCCACCAAGACACCCATAGACAGCCACAAGTGCGTGCGTACACAGAGAAAAACAGTTTTCTCTCTATAGCTAGCTTTTATAATCACCACAAATGTCAGTTTGGAGTATAATTTTTCATATCTATTTTAAAAGAAATAGCCGGCGACTTTGCCAGTCAAGCAAGTCAATGAAAGCAAGTCAAAGAAACAGAAAATATCCCAATTTTAGAAATAATTCTCAGTAGTTGCAGACCACCCAGGAACAGAAATTCGGCCTCCCTGTTGAAATGCTTTGGTGAATTCCTCAAGTTAAGTCCTGTCGCTGTGCCAGAAAAGCAAAGCCCATTCATGCTTCGAACCCTGTGCTCGCCTCATTCTCTATCATATTTCCCCTCTTCCTGCCCTTTCACTCTCAATCTCTCATGACATCTGTTTTGTGGCGCCCCCAACCACCCTGTCTCCCATCGTCTGACGTGGTTTATCAACGCCGGCGGAGAAACGTCCACTTTTTGGGTAGAAAACAACTCCTATAGACATAGACGGGCAATCATGCATGTATGGTTTTAATACATGTTTAATATGTTCCAGGGGCATGAGAGCGCATAATTGATCATTCATACTTTCATCGAAATTGGGAAAATGGGTTTTTTATGTGGTGGCTGTGAAGTTAGAATTTAAGTTTCTGCTGTATATAATTCAACCAACACTTTTCCTTTCACTTTCTTTCTATTTCTACAGCTCGCCTCAGCTTTTTCCTATTATAACTCAGCTGCTTGTGTGCGTCTACCTGGGCCGGGGTCGTGTCACCAAATAATGTAGCTACAAATGGGAGTATTGCTTCTCACTCCTCTCTCAGATGACTAGATTTAGACTGTTTCTGTTGTGAATCATTTCCTTTTTTCAATTCTGGAGGAGAAAAACAGGATGAAAATGATGATCTCTACACCAAACGCTGACCTTTCAGACATTTAACGCCTGCTAATAGTCTCCTTTTTCCTCCCCTTTTCTTCCCAGACGCCGAATGGATTGCCCACAGTGAACAGCTATGTCACAGCGCCCAGCATCCCTCCCTACCACCCTCCCACCCAAGTGTCACCCTACATGGGGTACAGCGCCACCACCTCGGCCTATGTGACCGGACCCACATGGCAGCCGGCCAGTGGCAGTGCTCTATCTCCCCACAGCTGTGACATCGCCACCCCTCTGGCCTTCAAGAGCATGACAGCCAACCGTGACGCCATCCACCCAGTCACTGCCTCGGCGCTGTGAAGTCAGCTCCACAGACTGATGCGGGGGTGGTG